CAAAGTAAGTGCAAAACTTTATTTTTTAGATTACGTGTGTTTATTTTGAGATGTCTTCTTCAGGATCTAGTCGAAGTGGAGATCCGGGTTGAAAATATGGACATAAATCCAAATGATAAAAATTGCATTAGATGCAATTATTGTAAAAAAGATACAAAATGGGGCATAAACTGATTTAAGAAACATCTTGCCGGTATTAAAGGGGATGTTGCCTCTTGTAAAAAGGTTCCTAAAGCTATCAGAGAAGAGATTAAGCAATATATGAGTTTTAAAAAACAAAAACAGGAACAAAATCCTTATCATTTGAATAGATCTATTTCTGGTTCTTTTAGAAGAAGTGATCCGGGTTGGAAGTACGGTTATAACCCAAAACCAAACAATAAAAATTGTATAAGGTGTAATTTTTGTGAAAAAGATACCAATGGGGGTATTAACCGATTCAAGAAACACCTTGTCGGTATTAAAGGGAATGTTGCTTCTTGTAAAAAGGTTCCTAAAACTATTTGGGATGAGATTACACAATTTCTAAATTTAAAAGAATCAGAAAAAGATAAAAATAAGCCTTGGTCTATGGAAATATCAGGTTCTTCTAAAAGTGGTGATCCGGGTTGGAAGTATGGTCATAACTCGAATCCGAATGACAAAAATCGTATTAAATGTAATAATTGTGGAAATGATACTAATGGGAGAATTTACCGGTTTAAAAAAAACCTTGCCGATATTAAGGGGGATGTTGCCCTGTGTAAAAATGTTCCTGAGGCTATCAAGAAGGAGATTATACAATATTTGAGTTCAGAGATGCACAAAAAGATAGAAAAAGGTAGAGCAGCCAAGACTTCTAAGGCCTCATCTGCACATACTAGTAAGAGGGAGGTAGAAGAAGAGGAGGAAGATGCAGATTCAAAAGAAACAGAGGAGGACGAGCATTCTGTTGAAGAGAGAGATGACTTTGATGATGATGGCCTCGAATCTGATGCATATGATGAAGTTTAGCCTATTCCTTCTTATGATGATGATGACTGAAGAATGAAGAGTTGAAGATGCTTGAGTGTCTGACTCTTGGTGTTGAGTGTTGATTGTTGAGTTTTGACTATTGTCTCAGACTGTATATTTTTTTAATTTCTGTATTTTTTTTTTCTTATTTTTAGTTTCTACTATCTAACTTCTGTGTGTACAGTCTACAATGTATCAGACTATCAGTGTATGCTTGTATGGTCTTACTGTTTTAGCATCGTATGAAAATATAGATTATGGTCTAATGGATTATCAAAATTCTCTTCTTGACTTCTATCTTTCTCTTTTTTTTTCAACTGCGCCACCCAGGTGCTTGGACCCCCATGGCCGCCAAGGTGCCTTGACCCCACAGCCGCCTAGATGCCGCCTAACACTTTTTGAAACACTAGGTGTCCCCAACTCTGCATAAGGCTG